AAGCGTTTTCGGGAACGGCCCATGCTAAAAGGCTGGAACTTCACAGAGTTGTTCCTTGGCCGCGTCCAATACAAAGATTTCAAATTCAGCCTTCACGTACCCCCAGGTCTCACGTACGCACACGTTAAAGTTTAAACTGGCATCATGCCAATTCCCGATTTGAGCTGACCAGTAAGTTGCAGAGAGCTGCAATTTTGCAGCGTTACTTGTCGCCCATTGTTGTGTCCGTGAATGTAAATAACTTGTCAGCTGTTCTGCATCTCGCGTACGAACACGTGAAATTTTACGCGACTCTGCAACCAAAGCAGCTGGAGTGCTGAAACTTTCTGAACGTTACCCGGGACCGTATTTGAGCAAGCGCGGGCAAAGAAAGCATTCACGTTGTCACTCACGTACGAACACGTGAAATTTTACGTGACTCTGAAGCCAGAGCAGCTGGAGTGCAGAATCTTTCTGAGCATTACCCAGGATCGTGTTTGAGTGACCGCGGGTGAAGAAAGCATTCATGTTGCTACTCACGTACGAACACGTGAAAGTTGACGCTACTCTGCAACCAGAGTAGCTGGAGTGCTGAAACTTTCTAAGCGTTATCCAGGACTGTGTTTGAGTAACTGCAGGTGGAAAAAGCGTTCACGTTTCCACTCACGTACGAACATTTGAAATTTGACGTAACTCTGCAACCAGAGCAGCTGGAGTGCTGAAACTTTCTGAGCGTTTTCCAGGACCGTATTTGGGCAACCGCAGACAAAGAAGTCATCCCCGTTTCACCTACGCATGAAGGTGTGAAATTTGACGTAACTCCGCAACGGAAGCATCCACAGCGCTGGATTTTTTGGGCATGGATTGGGAGTCTTTGTAATAATTTCTAACAGTCGTAGTGGCCAGTCCCAATTCGTTTAGCTAGAAGCATCTGCCGGAAAGAACGTGCCACTGGCGAAAAAAACCTGCGGGGAAACTGTGCAAAAAACGCATCCTCGTACCCAGCAGCCGGTACGCTTTCGACTAAATTGTATTGGTCAAGCTTAGTTCTGTGGAGCATAGTTGTGGCTGTCCGGCTGAGGAATGTTTTATTTGATTTGTTTGTTAATTGAACGACTAAGACATGTAATTTGGAAAAAAGAAGCCACATCCGCACTTTGATCTCTTGGGAAAATCAGTACCTTCTGTGAAAAAAAACCTGTTTCTGTCTGGTATTTTTCAAATGCCTCTTGCAGTCAGTCTTGTTTCGGAATTTA